GTTCAACAATTTGGTATGACTCGTGTGAATCAGATCATTCTGCCTTTTATCGACACTCGAGTGCTGGATGTGTTTACTTGATAGTATATGTCGATGATATTGTTCTTACGATGGTAGTGACAACCATGGCATCTCTCAGCTTGAAACAACATCTTTGTCACCATTTTCGGACCAAAGATCTTGGCAAACTTAGATATTTCTTGGGTATTGAGGTAGCACAGACTCAATGATGGTATTGTTATATCTCGGAGGAAGTATGCCATAGATATTTTTGGAAGAAACTGGGTTGATGAGTTCAAAGTCTCGCTGATACACCCATGGATCCCAATACTAAACTTCTACCAAATCGTGGGAGCCTATATCTGATCCCGAGCAAGATAGAAGATTGGTTGGAAAATTGAATTATCTTACGCTACTCGTCCCGACATTTCCTTTGCGATCAAGGTGGTAAGTCAATTTCTTAATTCACCATGTGAAGATCATTGGAATGCGATTATTCGTATCTTGAAGTATATTAAAGGATCTCCTGGAAAAGGATTGTTATATGCTTCTAATAACCATACAAGAGTTGTTTGCTACTCGTAAGTCGATTGGGCAGGGATCTCCTTCGGATAGAAGATCTACATCTCGGATATTGTGTCTCCATTGGTGGTAACTTGATTTCATGGAAAAGTAAGAAACAAAGTGTTGTGGCAAGATCCGGTGAAGCAGAATATAGAGCTATGGCCTCAGCTTCCTCGTGAACTTGTTTGGCTCAATCAATTGCTTAGAGAGTTACAATTTGGAGATGTCACTCAAATGACACTTGTGTGTGACAATCAGACGCTTCTTCATATTAGTCTCTAATCCTCGTCTTTCATGAGAGGACCAAACACATTGAGATTGACTGTCATTTTATTCGAGAAAAGATTATGTCTGGAGATATCAAGACTGAGTTTGCTTTGTTAACTCAAGTGATCAGCAGCGTAGATATTTTTACTAAATCTTTACAGGGTCCTAGAATTGATTATATTTGTAACAAGCTTGGCACATACGATTTGTATGCTCCAGCTTGAGGGGAGTGTTAGATATTGTTTATATATTATTTGATATTGTTAAGATATTGTTAGATATTGGTAACCACAATATCAAACAATATCTTCTGCTTATTCTCGTATTTTCAGCTTACTCTTTTAGTTGTATTTCTCTACTATAAATAGACCACCCTATGTGTGATTTATACACAAGGGAAATTAATTCCAAACTATATTTTCTTTATATTCAACATATATATATATATATATATATATATATATAAAATTATTTTAAAAAAATAATTAATGGCCCCCTAATTCTTAGGGTCCCCGACTTTGGTTTTATTCTTAATCATCATTTTTTTTTAATCATGAATTATGTGATTTTTACAATTAGTTTGTAGGATTTGTTGGTTACAAAGTATGTTGTCGCAATAAAAAGTTCTTTTATTTTGTCATTTATAATCTTGACTACTTCTTGATATTTCTATATCTTTTTTACATAGTTCAATTGATCATATTTGATATATCTCACATCTCATCTTTACTAACACTTGTGTTTTTGGGTGATTATTTTTCTTATAATAGAGATAAATAAAAAAGGTATGTAATTTGTTACCTTTATAATTCTTGGTTGGGAAGGAACCTTGGGTATGATGTAATAAAACAACTTCAACAACATGATTTCATTTCATTAATCTTCATGGTTATTGTGATGGTAAAATATATAACATTTCCGCTAAAGTAATCTTAGAGAAATCTTAGTATTTTCTAAAAACGAAATAAATGTTTCCCATATATTTGACATAGATACTAGAATGTTCGTAACTAATATGAAATTAAAGAATTTTTTTTACTTAGTAATTTTATCTTGTTATTATTAAAAAATTATTTCAGTATTTATTAATTATTTTTTTTACTCTTTAATTATTTATAACTCAGATTTTTTTTAATAAGTTTAAAACTTTCATATCTCATATTTTTTTTTATATTTTTTAGAATAATCCTAAATTTCTTTAGTTGATTTCAAGATCATGATGATAAAAAAGATTATTTGTAAAACACAAATAAATAAATATGATTTTTTTTTAATTTTAATTTAGACAATGATAAAAATTTTAGATAATAGATCAATATGTAATTTTTTGACTATTTCTTATAAATATAATATTATAAAATAAGATTGTATTATCAAACTTTTGGTAATTGGAGAGTAAAATAACAATTTGTACAAAAAATTATTTTCTTTTCATTTTACAAGTAACCAATCCTTTATATACCACGGTTGAAATATTAAAGGTTTTGAATATAAATTTTTTATATATAAAATATATGATATTATATTGTTCGAAATATTTTATTTATATGATAAAAAAATATATTAATCATGTATCAATTTTAATTATCTAAATTAAAATAATAATATAATATAATTTACTTTTATTTTAAATAAACATATTAAAATTCTCATAATACATATTTTAAATAAAATATAATAAAACATATATTCTTTTAAGGTATATTGTGCAAAACTGATGTAAAAAAATAAGGAGAAAATGCAAATACTAAGGAGCAATTAAAAGGATGTTATCAAATCTTAGAAATAAGCAATAGATGAATCTAACCTCTTATATAAGCTTGTTGGTGCCATGGCAGAGCATGCTCAAATTACAAGTTTTAGGTCAATATTGGTTTTGGACAATAAAGTATAATCATCAGCATTGGTGTTTGTGATATCTGACTACACGCTCAATTTCACCCATTTTTGGTTCGATTCATTGATGAATGTCATTTTATTTTTTATTTTTTTATTTAAGAATATTTTTTAAATTAATTATTTTGTTTATAAATCATATATTTAACATATTTTCATTAAGAATATAGTATAATTCAATTTTTCTTAATTTGTTACATTTTACATAATTTTAACATAATAAACAATATACATGCATACATCTACTGTGCATTTTTTTTTCTTTTGTAAGAGAGATAATTTGAGATGAGCCAAATTGATATAAAGAAATATTCAAATTGATGTCATCAAGCTTTACTCTTCTTGAAAGCCTAAGTTTACTTGTGCAACCCACTTGTTGAATGTTTCAAATGGAAATTTTGAATCAAGCACATGATTAAAGGCTAGCAGGAACAAGAATTAAATGCAAATCAGTATTGGATCACTCAAAATAGGAAATAAACATATTATTTTTTCCAAATCAGTCCTAGAAATTTCTCTTCACAAAGAATCAGATTTTACAATTATTTATTTGAGAAATATTTAATTTTATTGTAATTAATTTTAGACTTAATTTCTATTGTTCAAACCCCTATAAATAGAGGTCTTACGACAACTCACAATCATAATCTTCTAATCTAGGGTGAGAATTGTTATTTTGTCTCATCCTCATTTTATTTTCCTACTCTTAATTTGTAGTTTAATTTTTAGTTAGGCGAGTTCATTTACTGCTATTGCACTTCTGGTTTGTTCTCTTTTATTTAATTTGCAATTTATATTGAATTTTTCAGTTTATCTTGCTCTAGTTATTTTATTTATTCAGTGCTCATTTTAATTTTTGTTATTTAATTGTTTAGAATTTTTATTTCAGTATTGCATAATTTTCATTTTCAATTTGTCTCGTTTCCAATTCCAATTGACAATTTAGTTTTAGAGTTATCGCTTTCGAAATTTCAAATTTAATTATTGTATTATTTTATTTCAAAGCAAGTCTTGATTCTTGTATTTTTAATTAAAAATACTTTATTTTAATTTTATAAATTTCAGTTATTTAAATTATGTTTCTGTTTAATTTTAATTTTCGTTAATATTCTATAGCAATTTTATTTTAATTTTTATTATTCTGCATTAGTTTATTTCTTTGTGATAATGAGTATGTTCCTATAATTGTATCATTGTGATATTCGACACAGTGTTAGTTATACTCGCATTAGTTTAGCAACTTGTTTATTATGTTTGATTAGTATTTTGTGCGACCAAAATATTGTTATCAAATGGCATCGTCTGCGGAACACAATTGTGTTACATTACATTTTCTAATATCATTCTCTCTCTCTTTTTAATTTACTTTTTCTAGCTTTACTTAAAAAAAATTTTAAAAATTCAAAAAAAAAAAATTTGTTTGTGCTCCCTAAACCTTCTTGCAAGCAAAGCAAATTCTAATTAAGTCATCCTTTCAAGAAAATTCTTGAAAATCATTCTCATAGTAAACTTTAGATATAACTTGGTAGTGTGAGAGTGCATGTCTAGGAGGGTTCTAGTTAGGAAAAACTTTGTACTTAAGCGTCACTACTAGAAAAATGTCAAATTAATAACCGAAATCGATGACGGAAAAATTTAGTTACTATCAGTGATCGAATTATTATTTTTTAGTTTTAGTTATTTTATTTATTCGATGCTCATTTTAATTTATGTTATTTAATTGTTTAGAATTTTTATTCCAATATTGCATAATTTTCATTTTCAATTTGTCTCGCTTTCCAATTCTAATTCACAATTTAGGTTTAGAGTTATCGCTTTTACAAATTTTAAATTTAATTACTGCACTATTTTATTTCAAAACAATCCTTGATTCTTGCACTTTTAATTAAAAATACTTTATTTTAATTTTATAAATTTCAGTTATTTAAATTCTATTTCTTTTTAATTTTAATTATCATTAATATTTTATAGTAATTTGATTTTAATTTTTATTATTCTGCATTAGTTTATTTATTTTTTACTCTTTCATTCATCCCCTATTTATTGTTATTTATTATTTTAGAAATAATGATACATGATAATGAATATGTGGATATAATTATATTTTTGAGATTTGACATGAATTACCTGCACTACATTAATTTATTAACTTATTTATTATTTTTTATCAGTTGTCTGTGCGACAACAATATTTTTATTATTCATCCATGATGATATATGTAAATACTTGCCAAAACTGCGGTGCACTCTTTCCTTTGATATTTGGATCAATATTATCCCTCAAGAAGAGCTCCTCGAGAAGGTATACTACATCTAAAAAAGACTCCCTTCCAAGCAGAACTAGAAGTAAAACCACACCAAATGAGTGAATATCAAATTTATCTGTGACGATACCGTCCCCGTAATTAATTCTCTACGGCTACGAAGCCAAGTACCTATAAGTGAAAGTATTAGGTTGATTTAACTCAAAAATTCATTCAGTGAGTAAGGTCACAAAATGAAAAATCACTCGCTAGTTAGCTTTAATTGGTTCTAGCTTTGGCATAAAACGTGCTCCCTGTAGGATAAGACCGAAACTTGTTAGTTTTGGGTGCATGTTGTGATAAGAGGAGGTTACCAAATGCATTACTTTCAAATTTATACTGGTACAAGATTATTATTACAAAGACAACTTATGGTAAGATCAAAGAAACAGGGATCACAAGAACAGCTACAAGTATCTCAATTAAACTTGGTCACTACATTTCTTCTGTGTTCGAATACTGTTTTACTTCCAGGGAAATAATGGTTTTGGACGATAAGATATGATGACCGTTGGTGTTTGTGAAATCTGCTTGTTCCTGCAAGGACAGAGCATGCTCAAGTTCCACCTCCGCTTCGCCTATTGCTGGTCGCTCATTTTGTTCATACTCCAAACATCTGACCATGATACCTACAAAGACTTCCCAACACTCTGGCGCAATCTTTCCTTTGATGTTCGGATCAATCATTTCCTCAATAGGCTTCAGAAATCCCCTTTCTGTTACGATTCCTAAATAATTCATTCCACACACAACTAGTAGTAGAATCAATCCAAATGAGAAAACATCCCATTTATCTGTGACGGTGCCATCCATCACGTACTCCACAGGCATGTAGCCAACAAGACCTGTAATTGAAAGTATTATTTCATTAACCCCACAAAGATTCAACTCAGTAAGATCCTAAAACAAAACAAAAAATGAAAAAAAAAAAAAAAAAAGTTACCGATAATGTGATCTCCATTAATCTGTTTCGGCTGAGGCTTTGGATTGAATCGTGGTCCCTGTACGCTGAGACCGAAAGCTGCGAGTTTTGGCTCCATACTGTCATCCAAGAGAATGGTACTGGCTCTGAGGATACAGTGAAAGATGGAGCGCTTGGCTCCTGTGTGAAGATAGTGTAGTCCACGTGCTACGCCTATGCATATCTCTACCCTTTTCTTCCATGACAGTTTCCCACCTGGAAGGTGTTTATCTAGAGATCCATTGGACATGTACTCATATACAAGAATCTTCTCATTTTGGTGGTCGCAGAATCCTATAAGATACACACATCTAGGGTGACGAAGCTGGCATAGCACTTCTATTTCCTTCTTGAACGCTTCACATCCATGTTCATTAAATCGCTTTATTGCCACTACGTAATCAGAAACACCGTTATGTTGTAGATTGCCTTTGTATACTTTGCTAAATAACCCACCTCCTATTACTCTGTTTTCATCGAAGTTGTCGGTGGATTTCCTAAGATCGGTTAGAGAAAATCGATGGCAGAGCTCTTCTATCACCGTTGGAAACTGTCTCCGAGATGAATTTGTATTAGTTGTGAGCTTGGAACAGCACATGCCCAAACAATTGAGAAACATAGTTCCAATTTGTGACACCTGCATGCTTGATTGACATTGAACTCTGCTACTCCTCAATCGTTTGGTGTGTGAAGCATATTTGGGTTCGAATCTCTTAACACCAATGATTCTTAAATTTTGTTATAGGTTTGTTGTGACTTATAAAAACAAATAAAATAAAATAAATACGAACCTATAATAAGAACTGGTAATAGAAATGAGGGTGAATTTTAAAATTTATTAAGAAATTTTTTATTGAAGTAAAATAAATTATGAGATATCTAAGAATGATAAAAAATAATAAATCTAATTTATATATTTTTTAAAATAAATTTTATATTTTTAAGATAAAAAATAGTATATTTCCTTCTTAATAAATATTCAGGTCAAACATTGTGTGCACTAGTTCAATGACACGGGCCTACATAAACTGACTCGGTCACGAGGAAATATTGATGGGTACGTAGATGACAACGAAGTGTACAAGTATCTCAATTAGATACGAGCACGGCAAAATTCTTACTGTGACTATTTTTTTGTCAAAATACTGTACTTTCTTCACTATCACAATTTTCTGTGTTTCATTACCATTTCATTCCAAGGAAATAATGGCTTTGGACAATAACGTATAATCATCATTGGTGTTTGCGATGTCTGCTTGTTCCTGCAACAACAAAGCATGCTTAAAAGTTTTATCTTATTAGCAATGTATAATAATTTGTTTGAGTATTCATTAATTATCCGTATTCTTACATTATTTGTGTCTCAAATTCACTTATCAAATTTAAAACTTTCATGCATCTAATTTTCTCATTCCTTTAATATTGATATTTCAAATAATCTCAAATTTCTTTGAGCGACTTTAGCATCATGATTCTGATGAGATCACTTGTAAAATACCAACAAATAGACATAATTTAACTTTTGTTCTTTTTTTCTCTATGAAATTTCATTTGAGCTATGCCAAAAATTTCAGGTAGTAAATCAATGATGTAATCTTCTTTTTAACTTTCTATACATTCAATCCTTCAAAATAGAATTATATTCTCATATCCCATAAGTCACAATTTTCGTCGTAAAAAATTGGAATAGCTTGTAAAAAACTTCTTTCTCCTTCCATTATCTCGTAAGAATCAAAGATATGATATTATTAATAAAAAGTTGTAGAGTTATATATATATATATATATATATATATATATATATATATATATATATATATATATATATATTTCTTATATATCATATGGATATATATTTTATTTATATAATACATAATAACCTAATATTTGTTTTATTTTCTCTATTAAAAAATAATAAAATATTTTAATACTTAATTTAAATAAAAAATAATAAAATAATATTCACCTCATAAATCACACAACTAGTCTGTATAATTGTCTTGTGATACGTAGCTGTTTAATTATCTACGAACACGTTACATTTCTTCGGTCTCACTTTCCTGCGCTGTATACTAGTTCCCCTCCTGGTGAATAACAGTGGTGGAAAATAAGTTATAATCACCATTAGTGTTTGTGATATCTGCTTGTTCCTGCAACGACAAAGCATGCTCAAGTTCCACCTCTACTTCACCCATTGTTGGTCGCTCATCAGGTTCATGCATCACGCATCTTTTGGTAATATCTATAAAGACTTCCCAACACTTTGGTGCAATCTTTCCCTTGATGCTCGCATCAACTTTTTCCTCAACAGGCTTCTCCAGAAATTCTGTCTCAACTGGCATGGTTACGTATTTCCTTCCACACACAACTTCAAGAAGAACCATGCCAAAAGAATAAACATCAGATTTATCTGTGATGGCATCGTCCGTGAAAAGCTCCCTAGCCATGTATCCAGGAGTACCTGTAGGTAAAAGTATTAGCTTAGTTTACTACAAAAATTCATTGTAGCAACTAAGGTCATAAAGCAAAGAACAAAATTACCCGCCACAATATCTACTTTAACAGGCTTTGGCTTTGACATTAAGTGTGATCCCTTTACGCTAATACAGAAACCTGTGAGTTTTGGGTGCATGTTGTCATCCAAAAGAATGGTTCTAGGTTTGACAATACGATGAATGATGGTGCGCTTGGCTCCTGCATGAAGGTAGTGTAGTCCACGCGCTGCACCTATGCATATCTCCAACCTTTTCTTCCATGACAGTTCCCCTAGGTGTCGATCTAGAGATTCGTTGGACATGTACTCGTACACAATAATCTTCTCTTTCTTGTGGTTGCAGAATCCTATAAGAGACACACAATTAGGGTGACGAAGCTGGCAAAGCAACTCTATTTCATTCTTGAACACTTCACTGTGTTCCACAGAAAACCGCTTCACTGCTACCATGTAATTAGAAGCAGCATAATGTTGGAGATACCCTTTATATACTTCACCAAATCCTCCACGTCCAATTAGTCTGTTTCTATCGAAGTTGTTGGTTGACTTTCTAAGCTCGCCAAGAGAAAATTGATGGCACAACTCTTCTATTTCTGTTAGATACCGTTTCTTAGATGAACTTGTGTAGCCCAAACATTTCAGAAACATTGTTCCAATATCTGAGAAACACCTTCCTTAAATTTGTTTCACTTACCTTAAACATTTACCTCTACTTCTCTTCGCTCTCTACTCCTAATTAAGCTAATTAACCTTGTCTATTCGTCTCTAATTTCTAATTAACATTTCACACTCTAGTCTTCGTTCATTTGCGCGTTTTCTGTTTCTCCAGTTTACACCGTAAATACTAATAGTTTACACAAAAATGGTTTAAAAACATAACTTGGAGGCTGATGGATTCGACCAATTGAGTTGAAACTGTTGTTTAATAATAATGTCACATATATGTGATAAATATATTCAGAATTTGACATCATAAAGTTGACCGAGTATAAGTGTAGATATTTGGTAGGATTTTCATACGAAACTGTTCCGTATTGGTTAATAAAATATCATTACAATTGAATCAAAGCAGGGTTTTGGGTGGAGGGGAAAAATAGGAAATTAAATAACCATGCAAGTGTTAATAAGAAATTTCATCATAGATAAGTGTCATTTTGGACAATTGTCATATGAAATTGCATAAAATGAATTGTAGTTAATAAAGTATCAGCACTAATCAATCAAGATAGGGGTTTTCAGTTATGAGTAAGAGAGGAGAAATTAAATAACAAGACTGATGTTAGTATTGTTTTTCGTCTCGTATTGTTTATTATTGTCGTTATATACAGAAGTGTCAATGTAAATTGAATAAATAAAATATAAGGGAAACAATTAGGTATTCTCGTAATGTTATCTATGTCATATTTTTTTAATTGAAAATATATTAATTAAGTAATTAAAAACGTGTCTTATCATCATAAAAGCTTGATCTTTTTTTTCTTATCCAAAGCTGTTCAAATGATTTAATTTATTTTATTTTAAATTATAATAACTAAAGAATTTATGTGATTTTTTTTCAAATCTAGCATCCAATTGGAGTAAATAATACTATACCTATTATTTACCTGAATAACACATGGAAAGTGTTAAAAATTAATAAATTTTTTAAAATATAACAATATTTATTAAATATAAATATATATTATAGATTTTTATTTAATATATATATATATATGAAATTAAAATAAATATAATTTTTATATAAAATAAAAATATATTTATATAATTATATTATTAAAATATTAAAATATTTTTATAAATATAGTAAATACAAATATATTTAATATATATATATAATAATATTTAAATAATTATTTATATTTTTATAAATAAAATAAAATTTAATAAATATATATATTTATATCTTTTTAGATAACATTTTTTATATAAATAAATTATATATATTATTTAAATATATTTTTAATATAAAATAATTGTAGTAAGTAAAAATAATATTTTTTATAAAAATATGATAAATACATTTTTATTAATATAATATAAAATTATATATAAATATTTATTATATTTTAATATATTTTTATATATTTTTATAAATATGATAAACACAAATTTGTATTTTTTTATATACATTATAACTTTATTTAATATAATATATAACAAATTTAAATATATACTTTTATATATAATAAAAATATATTATATAATTATATGTTTAATATATTTATATATACTTTTATAAATATATTTATATATTTATAAATTTTATTTAAATATACTTATATAATATTTATATATGATAATATAATACTTACTACAATTATTTTATATTAAAAATATATTTAAATAATATATATAATTTATTTATATAAAAAATATTATCTAAAAATATATAAATATATATATATATATATATTTATTAAATTTTATTTTATTTATAAAAATATAAATAATTATTTAAATATTATTATATATATAGATTAAATATATTTGTATTTACTATATTTATAAAATTATTTTAACAATTTAATTATATAAATATATTTTATTTTATATAAAAATTATTTTTATTTTTATTTCATATATATATATATATATATATATATATATATGAAATAAAATTCTATCATATATATTTATATTTAATAAATATTGTTATATTTTAAAAATTTTATTAATTTTTAACACTTTTATTGAAATGTGTTATTGATGTAAATAATAGTTACAGTATGCTATACATATATATTTACTTCAATGGAATGCTAGATTTAAAAAAAAAATCTAATTTATGTACTCTTACATTGCTTCATGCCACTGACACTTCCATTAACAAAAACTCAACCCAACAAAGGAACTAAAACTTGTTCAAAAAATTATATTTTTGAAAACGTCTTATTGAGTTTACAAAATTCATGAATTAATTAATGTTATGTTTTAAGAAAAAAAAAAAAAAAAAAGCAATTGTTACGTGTATAAATTTTCATGAATCAATTGCTGTTTTAACTCTTCAATTTATTATTTGCCTAAGGAAGATTTGACTACATTTAAACCTGAATCATGGAGGCAAAAATAGCTATCATAAGCGAGCGATGAATAAAACTTTTAACTTTATTAACCTTTCAACGATATGTTGGGTAGAATATACCAAATAGATACCCTTAGTCTTTAAAAGTACAAAATTACATATATAACAACACTTCAATAGTATTAATTCATAGGGATGAAAGCTATTGGAATTCTTTGGATAATTCACAGAAGACTCTTCACGTGCAAACAAGATAAAGTTGTGAGAATTTTGAGAGGAGCATTTGTGCCTATAGTGCAGCTTCTGCTAAGCTTATAAGAGCAATTCTGGTTCAACCTCAGGACCCTTGCTCATGAATCTTTTAAGGAACTCTTCAAATGCGATGGACCGGTAGATGGGTCGAGCACCAGAACTTATCAAAGGCTTTGCAGGTTCTATAATTTGTTCGTTTGTTGGACGGATGAAATATGCAACTGTGGTCCTTGCAAATCCTGAATTTGTGACCACACGGTGTTCAGCACCAATTAACCTTCCATTACTAATCATCTGCACATTAATTTGTCACAGACATTAAGTTGAATTTCCATCGTGCAAAACCTCATCAAATCGATCATGAGTCAGTGTTTTTTTTTTTTTTTTTTAACGAGGTGATGTGTTAGAAAAAAGTGTACAAATATTTGCCAATTAATGTACTACTTTTGATAATTCTACATATAGACAAAACATATATATTTATATACCTGCAACATAAGCCCAATGTTGACCACAAAAGCATAAGGAATTGGTTCAACAACAATCCACTCCCCATCCTTGAAGACTTGAAGTGCATTTATATCCTTTTCTTGAAGCAGAATGGTGACAAGGTTAGGATCTCGGTGCTTGGGAGCTCCCAAGGTTAAACTTGGTTCTGGGCATGGCGGGTAGTGATGAGCTAGCAATAGTGGACTATCACTAAGTCCACCACAACAGTATTTTGGGTCAAGTCCTAATCCTTCACAGAGCAGCTCCAAAATTTTGAGTCCCAGAGTTCTCATTTCTTGTGTGTATTTTCCAACAACTTCACTGCAAGGTGTCATCCATCACCAAAAGTTGTGTTCAGACTAAACCAAGAGCAATGGTTAAAATCTCATTATCAACCAACCAATTTAGAAAATGCCCGAGTCGAAGAAAATGAGAAGAATTTGAAGAATAAACATTCTTAATAGAAGTCAATTATGCTTGAAAGAATGAAATGGAATAAAATATTTTGATTGTGACGTATCATTTTTTAAGACATCACTGTCAACCAAGAACACATCAACTTGCACAGTCAAAGCATCTGATTCAAACCGAAATTTATAGTATATATCATAATCATTGTCAAGGGTTTATAATTTATTTAAATGCTGACTCAAAGACTCAAAGATGAAGCAAATTAAATTGGATTTCATGAGCTAATTTAAATAATTAGTAGCAGACGAAGCAGTGTAGTTCATATTAAATATTATTTACACAAAAGTACATAAATGAAAATAATTTACCGATATTTTTCAGGCTTTTGAGGCAAAAACTGCATGAAATCTCCAGAAGGTGGACAGAAGTGTCTTAATGTGTCTCTCCAAAACTGAACTATATCTTTGTTGTTAATCTCACGGCTTGTATAGAGCCTGCAACTTCCATTTGGATCTCTGGAGCTTTCCCTTATCTTATCTTCAGCGGGCATGGCATGAAATTCCTTGAAAATATTCAGTGTGTCATCCATTAACTCCTTGGAAACTCCATGGTTGATAACCTACAACACAGTTTTTTCATGCATATTAACCACACACCTTTACGATTTTAGCACACTGAGGGTTTGCCATTTGTTCAAATCTTAAAATTAAAACAGTCTCAATGCAAGTTTTATAAACACACTGACATTTTCATCATTTCAAGAACTAATATTGCAGTTCTTAACAAGATTAGGGATGAAATTGTTATAGATATGTGCTGAATAATTTTAAAAATGATAGACGGTGAGATGGAAGTAGAAAAGTGAAATTAATTACGACAAAGGAAAAGAAAATTCTTGAGAAAGAACCTGAAAAAATCCATAGTCTTCGGAGGCTTCCAAAATGTGCTTCAAGGTTTCAGCACGATCATGCAACCCGAGATCTACCACCGGGATTTTTTTGTCTGAAGCAACAACCGTGCCAGGTCTGCTTTCCGGTGGTTGCACGAAGGATAAGGGCACTGAGGAATGAAGATGGAACCAGCTCGAGACAAGCCTGTGATCCATAGTGCTCAAGGCAATGAAGTTTGATTTCATTATTCATGTGTGGATGGATTATTATATACAAAAAGAAACATATTAAACATGACGTCTGAACTCTGATTAGTGGAGTTTTGACTTTGAAAACAAATTAAGGGCATCACCTACTTATAATAAATGTATAAGAAATGCAGTCACATGAGAGAGTTTACAATTACAGAAATCACAATTTGACTTCTCAAGGTCTCAAGTCTACTAAAATACTAGTGTACCACTCTAAACTTATATTGACACCTCACCATTATCATCAACTTCGATAATTAAATAATTTAACACAACTTTTTCTACCAAATTCATTGAATTTTATAGTTACTTGTTTGTTAAGTAGCAATTAAGAAGTAGATGGATTAAATTTTAGATAACTTGATACATGAATGTATTTATTAAAAAAAGATACTAATTAACTTATTAGACATTATTTGGCATAGTGTATGCAGATGGAGCTTACATCATTTTTTTTTTTTTTCATTATGGAGCCCAGCCAGCTAGATTAATCAGAACAAAATAGTATATGTTGAAGTCCGTAAATTAATTATTAACAAGTCAACTTGTGGATCGATGTTCATAAATAATGACGTTTTTTAATTAGATTGATTAATGAAAAAATATGTGGATTAATTGGATGAAGAGGTAAAAATGAATGGGGAAACAATAACATCACATGATGAGTCAGAGGGACTGGGTTGAAACACAACAACTTTTTCTGTTCATATGATGTTATGCAACAGTTCATGAACATGGATGCGTTTTTTGCGTATGCTGCTAAATTAATGCCATTAACTGTTTTCCCGTAATCTTCATCTCACAGGTACTACCACCATTCTTTCTTCATGCATATTTAATACTGGATTCATAGTTTATGCACTTTACAAAAAAAATATTCAAAAACTTTTATCTGTTTATGACGATTCATATATAGTGTTGTTTGTATAATAAAAGAAAATATATTTTAAGCCACCTTGTATCATATGTTTAATTTTTTTTATTAAAATATTTTTTTCATGAAAGAACAACTAAACCAGCTCTAAATTATTTTTTAGGGTTTTTTAATTATTTTAATATATTAGAAAACAATTTTTTTAAGTACATGTAATGTTTATAGAATATTATTGGTATATTTTATAGTTATTGTTTGTCATTGTAAAGAAAAAAAAATCAGTTTTTTTTTATGTAGTTTGCGACAAACTATAACTTGGTAATTAAAAGAATTACTATAAAGTGAGATGTTGAAACTATTTCCTATGAAATTAAAAATTAATAATTTTAAAGTTTAAATGAAAAATAAGTGAAAATTTATAAATTATTTTATAGGGGTCAAATATAAAATTTATTTGACATTAATTCAAAAACTTTCGGTGCAATGCATATTACTAACCAATTAAACCTATGGATTAGGTTTCCTAATCTTCTACCCTAGGTTACTAAGTTACAATAGATCAAGTTTGCCAATTGATTTTTTATTAATTATATGTATAAAAAAAGTTAGATTGGATAAAACTTAGTTGAATAATTGTATGTTTGAAAGGAAGAAAATGGGATGTTGACTAAGTGACTTACTATTTCTTTAGCGTTTTCACACTACATCAACTCACTTGATTAATAAGATGTGAAAATAATGATTAACTTTTTAGAATTAAATTACCACATAAAAAATATGGAACTAAGCATGTTATAAATACGTACCATGTTCAACTTTCCTCCTTGCACAAAAATTTAAAGACAAGGAATAAGATCTAAACATAACGTTTTATCCCAAAAAGGAGAAGGAACCAAAAAATGAGTCCATTTCAAAAGATAATTAAGTAGAGATTCAAAGTTAGAACATGTGATATGGTACAAAAATAAAAAAATCATATATTTCCCCCACTCAACTAACCCTTTGAAATTAGTATACCTTCATGGTTGAATTTATTTTCCATTGAGTATACGTTTGCCCAAACCATAATGTTGAACCTAATAAACTCTCTATTCCAAAAAATAGCAAAAGATATGAGTACGATCAAATTTATGGATGCACTTAGCGTATCACAAAGGCATTTAGATTACTAAAATGAATAACGTGGCACAACGTAAACAAATACATGAATTTACACTCCTCAAGTCATCCACGTCGTGCTAATTCATTAAATGTAGTAAACGCGTGAAAATTTGACCTAGGAAATTTTGACACATTACAAATGCTTTCACACCACTTTAATATTTTCTGGTTTTGACTGGGTTGAATCTTACGCATTGTCTCCTACGTGTGTATGCTTGACCTAAATACGTAGGTTACTTCAAGGTTACTATAACATAATATTCTTTTTTTAATGTCTACAATTTAGATATTACGATATTTTGGGTTTTAAAATATATTTTTATTATTTAATATTGATATTTATCGTCCTCTTTTGTTTGCATCTCATTTTTATTTTTCTGTTTTTTAATTTGCCATTGTGTTGTACAATGGATAATAACTAAAACCAACCAATTCCATTTAAATATTTTCTAAACATTAATAAATAAAATTATAACAAGAGAAAAAACTAAACCTTCTTCGTTTTAAAAACGGTAGTGAGTGATAAAAATTAAAAAAAAAAAAAAAAAAAAAATAGTGTTTTCCAGATAAATTTGAGTGTTATACACATATGGGAGTGCAATACAAAGCATTTTTCCATTTTTTTTACTTGTATATATTAAAATTTAGAATAAATAAATATTTAATATATATATATATATATATATATATATATGTATATAAATTATATTTTATATACCTAATTTTGTGGATAGATATATTATAATCAACAATTTTATAAACGTTTTATATTATTAACACATTATGTGATATTATTAGGACAGAAAGTTACACAATTTTGGATCTTAATTTTACTTAAAACCAAAATCTTTATCTTTTTCACTTGACTGAAACTATATCACAAACAATAGAGATGAAAATTGTCAAGTATTTAATATCTAGAAAAAAAGAAAGAGTCTAATTATTTAACTTTGGAAACAATTATAAGATCTAAAGACATAAGAATAATATTTTTCTATAACGCGATTATAACACAACCATAGTACAAGAGTAATTAATATTTTGATGTATAATCTTTGATACTCGATGCTATATGATCTATGAGAATTAAAAAATTTCTGATGAACATAAGGGTCGGCATTCTTCGTACAAAATAAAAAAATCACAAAATAAACTCAGCCAAACATTTGTATGGATAAAACATTGAAGTCAGTTGTCGTTGATTTTGGGAAGAAGATCGATCGTAATCTTCTCTTGCATGACACGTGCACGTAAACGCCACTAATATGGTCTTCTTTGAGAAAATGGTAAAATTCTCAAGCAAAGAAGATTAATCAATCTTTCCATTATCTTCCAGCACTATCAAATCAAATCTAGCATTCATAACACAACCCATGAAACTTTAGAAGATCTTGAAGTTTCCTTGCGTCTTTTCGCCAGCACCTATACATTTTTCAATTGTTTCAGTTGCTATCAATACCTGTTTACGGCCAAAACCTTTCATTATCATATAGATTGAGGAATTAAACAAAGTTATAACACACACCAATTATGCTACTATATACAGTAGGAAGGCCACATGTTGCCTAAGTGACTCGCCCTTTGACAAAGTCATGTTCCCCATTATACCTTAATTGGAATCCTATGCTAAAAACTATGGTTAGCTTCATTGAACAATTTTAAAGCACACAACCAAGGTTGGCAAAAATCAAAACACAAAACAAAATAAACCATGCCCAATACCAATACCAATTAATAATAATCATCAATCTACATCTAATCTATATCCTGAGATGAGGATTGAATACCATAAATCATACGCCTGTTAGAGTCGCATTGGCTCAAAAGCCACTTTCAAGGGAACAACAGCGCGCGCACTTAGTTTATTTTTCATTTGATTTCTTTTGTCTTGATTCAAGATTATGTTGTGAATATGATGAACCATTCTACTTTAGCTAGCTGGAACATTAATTGTACTTAATTATTATATTCTGTACGGGTTCTTAAGATTTATTTCCTTGCTCCACTTGCCCCATTCTCACTGGGAGAAGGTAATGAAGCTGTGAACAACCATGTTTAAGACTAAACAAACGTGGAGTATATAACTGACATCACAATAAAGTACACAGTGAAAATTAATTTCAAAGTTCCCAATGATAAGTATTAAGATGGCCCACTATAACATGGTATAAATGAAGCATATATATACACATATATGTAATAGAAATCGCAGATTATGTAGGATCGTGTGGAATAGTTTTAAGTGAAATCATGGTCGCTATGATGGGTTCTCTAGCACCAAACAAAGGGTGGAGGAAAGGCCCTTGGACTGGTGAGGAGGATAAGTTGCTAAGTGAATATGTTAGCTTGCGTGGGGAAGGTCGGTGGAGTTCAGTGGCAAACTTTACAGGTATATGTATAACTTACACTTTGATTCCATATATCATGCATTGCACTGCTTCTACATTAATAAGGGTGTGCACAATAAAAGTGAAAAACAAGGAGAAACCATAAAGGTTTAACACACTTTTGATTCACTGTTCTACCTGCCAAATCATTTTTCATTGAATTGAATTTCAGGATTAAATAGGAGCGGCAAAAGCTGCAGGTTAAGATGGGTGAATTATTTGAAACCTGGCCTCAAGAAAGGTCAATTAACACCTCTGGAAGAAGGAACCATTATGGAGCTACATGCACTTTTGGGTAACAAGTAATTAACAGACACCATATTCTCCTTTTTCTCGAATTCTCAAACTTTTGTTATTGTTTTAATGGGAACTGAAATTGTATCACAGGTGGTCTACGATAGCAAAATACTTGCCAGGTAGAACAGATAACGAGATCAAGAACTACTGGAGAACCCACTTCGGGAAGAGGGAGAAATCCAAACACAAAAAGCCACAAAGGCGACAAAAGGAACAACAACCTAATAAGCCGTGTGATTTCAAAACCATCATGTGTCCCAAGGAAACCATAAACGAAGCAAAATCCTTCGAGACACAAAATAATAAGCAACAAGAAATTGGTTTCATGTACCCAACAATAGATAACCAATATAATACGGTTCCTTCCACTGAGGGATTCTCATCCATGTGGCTAGACACTCCAGTGGATGATGGCTTATGGTTTGGTTTTTGGGACTTTGATGAATCACAGAGTTTTGGAGATTATCTTAACCAGTTTAGCAAATGTGGCATGCCAAATGAAGCCACATTTGCTGTTGGAGGGGATTCCACGCAAAATCATGATAAAACTTCTTGTTTTGATGATGCATCGTTTGCATGAACTTGGGTTATGTTTGGCTATGCAGCTTGTTGAAAAAATAAATTCATATCGACTCCATCGATCTTAGTATCTGTTTTGGATGAATGGTAACTATAGTTGAATGCATCCTATATGAAACTTGTCATTGATGAACTAATATAATAATATTAATTATTTCTTTCACTAGTTGTCTCTCATCACTTGCATTATATTTAATTTGAGTAAAATATATATGAAGAGAATAAATAAAAATAATAATATAAAGAAAATAGTGAGAAAAAATATTGATAAATTTAAAATAAATTAGTATGAGAAATAAATAAATAAACGAATAACATAAGAGTAGAAAAAAATATTTTCTTTACTAGAGATAATTATCCCTTTTAATTTAATAAAATACGATTATTTACTGGTATAAATTTTTTTCCCTCCTTCCTTGGCTTGGATATGGTAAGAATTTTTAATAAAAATAAAATTTTGAACCAATTTAAATTGATTTATTTATTAAAAAAACAAATTAACCAGCAACAATAATAAACTTCGAATCTGAACTGGTAAGATAAAGCTCCCCTCCGTATCAGCAAGCCTTAAATCCCACACTGCTAAAAAGGATGAAGTCCAATCCAAAATAGCTACATTGTATGGCCCAACTATCTATCGAATATCTGCAATCTTCTCAGAAAACAAAGATAACTATTATTATGTTTTTAATTTCTAAATCTTAAGGTACTTTTTTTAATTTTTAAATTTAAAATAATTTTAAATACTAAAATTTAGATAAATATAATTTTAGTCTCTAATCACTAAATTGAAATTTTCAAAACAATTTTAAAAATTTATTTTACTCCCTCAAATTTAATATTTAGATATTAAAATCATATTTCAGTCAATTTTCAGGGTCTAAATATTAAAAAAAAATTGAAAACCCATTAAACTAAAAAATGTAGTTAAGTCACAGATTTCGCATACGGCCTAAGAAATTACATTATATGAAAGAAAAATATTATCAAGGTCTTTTTTTTTAATAACTTAAAAATATTATTATTAAATTTCATATCATGATTTTATAAAAAATATGACATTCATTTTGTTTTGTTTTCTTTATTAGACAAAAACTAATTGATGTGAAACCATTTAGAGTTGAGAATAGGATTTATTGAAGTGAGATACAATTAGTCTACATTGATTTATATAATCAAGGATAATGATTATTGATGTTAAAGAGATAAATAATATATTATTAATAAATAATAAATAAATATGAAAATATAAAAGAATACAAAAGGATAAGAGATGAAATTAGTAAATATATAAATATGTGTATTTAATAATTATTAAGTTTAGAGAGACCAAAATTATAAATATTAATGTAAATTCAAATTTTAAAAATAATTATTAAATTTGAGGAATTAAAATCATAAATATTAATATAAGTTACATAATTTTGACATAAGCTTTGTTTCTAAAAAAAATGATAAGCTTTGTTTCTAAAAAAATTATAACTAATAAGAGGAGAAAAGATACATAAATTTCATCATATAATAATATAATAATGAAATACAATTTTTTTTTTTATGATGTAGTAAGTAAGCCTTGCGCAAGTTTCATCCTAACTATCATGTAGCATTAGTAAACAATTGTGAAACCAAAATTAAGGAAAGCATTTATCCTCTCTCAAGAAAAGTGGAAGCATTAATCCTCCATTTCCAAAGGGTAGAATTTGGCCAATATTCCATGGCCACTTGTTGAGCTATGTTTTGGGTCCATCTTTCTTGAGGATAAAGAGGGATAATAAGTTCGTCTTTCTACATTTTATATTACAATCTTGGGAAAGTGGCAAAGCCATAGAAACCCTTTGGAATTGACGGGCTAGAATGAGACCATAAAGCTATTATATATTCTTTACGCAAATGAGTCATAGGTTGATGCTTTCTAGTCTAGACTGTTTAATCAAATTGAGAGAAATTACTTTTCATCATGAACCAAGCATCATTTTGAGATGGTTCAAGACTTAAAGTGAACCCAAATGCTGCAAGCATCACCCATGTGAATGGAAGATGTTCCAGAGATGCTTTTGCAAAATTAAGAGAAGTACAAATCTATATTCTGCCAGGAACCATCTGCCATGAGTTTCAACTTTGGATATCAGAAAGTAACTAAGCATTCAAACTGAGAAATTAATGCTTACCAATGCCCTAAAAATATTAGTTAAGAAAGTAGCTTAAAATATTCATCAAAATTGCTTCAAAAGAAGAAGAATACTGAGATACCATAAAAATGTATTGCACCTTAATGACTACTGGACTGCAACTGTTATTTATCCCTAAATGCTGAGACCAGGCGCAGCCAAACCACATTGGAGCATTCTTGGTTCAGACTTTGACTCACTCCTTCTGCATTTACCAATTCCAATTTTGCAAGCAATCATTTATTCATTCCTCATTTTAATTCAATGCTAACTTCGACATGACAATAAAACAATGTTCATTTATTGTCGTGTGTCAAACTTTGATACATATAATACTTTATCTTTCACGAAAGAACCTGTTTCTGGTACCAATGCCGGCGTTGATGTGAAAAACATTTACACCATCGATGACAGAGATTTAGTTGAGCAAATTCGCCCATGTTTTTCGGTGGATTTGTAGAAAGCTCTATGGTAGATCCAAAATGCCATGCCTTGCTTCACATGGAGAACCTCAATTCCATTTACTGCATCACAAATTTTCTTTTGTAGGGTCTAATCATGCCAATTACTAAATCCATAACATCTTAATATCATTTTCTATTTCTAATATTCAAACTCCAAACTTTCCCTCAAAAACAAACCCTGTTTCACTTAAATTCAACTGACAACACATGGCTTAATTCAATTTTGAATATTTTTTTCTTTGAATAAACCTATAGTAAACTTCGTAAAAAAATTGTATTTTCACAATAATTTCTCTTACAAAGATAAACAATTAAAGAGTGTTAAATGTAATATTTTTTAAAAATATACAAATATTGAAATCAACTAAAAAATAAAAATTTATTTTGTTTTTAACATGAATGTTGACAATTATATTTATTTACAACTTGATCTCGTTTTCTTTTTCTTTTTCTTAGGAAAAGTAGCACTTTTTCTTTTTACTTTTACCTTTTTTTTCAATATTTTTCTTTACACTTTAATGCATTCTATTTTAGGGTATATTAAAAAACAGTTTGGAATTAAAAAAGAATGTAAAAAATGGAAATGTTGAATATTTATTGAATGGATTAGTCAGATTGAAGATGATGATTGGATGGAAAGAGTGAGTGATGGAATGAAGAAGCGCAGAATTGCTTTTCTTTCCACGGCACGCGTCTTCTACACGCTCACCCACAAAAAATCCCATGACTCGGTGCTCCTCTTCTCCCCTCACGACACGTCCCATGTACGACGTCGTTGCGATGCAGAGCCTTTCCATCAATCAACTTTGTGTCACCTGGTACTGTACACTACATCCATACACGCTTCTGCACAACTCATATATCTCTTATTTTTTTATTTTTACTTTTTAAAATATGTGTGTAATTGTTAGGTTAAAAAATAAGACAAAATAGCCTCCATTTAATATATATATTATTTAAACTTATAAACATAAGTTGTGTTTGATTCTGCATCCCAAATCGAAAATGCACTTTAGATGGATGAAATATAGAAGCGTGAAACATGTGTATCCTCTACAAGCAAGCAACCAAACAAACAATCAATCATATTGTTATTTGATCTTTCAATATAAGTCATATTTAAAAAAATATATGACTAATGAGTTGATTGATTTCACTTGTTTTATTTTTATTTTAGTTTAGTTTTTGTGGGACTGATAAAAATAATACATCTTAAAAAAGTTTAAAGTGACATCAGATCAGTAATGGTGTAGGTGATAATAACTATATAATGGGTTTAAACTATATGTATTTGATTTTTCTTATACTCTTATAATGAAATTTTGAGATGATTAGTTTAAATTCTTACTTTGGATATTACAGGTGTATTTGGGATCAAAGAACATGAGAGAGTTTTTATGTTATATTCTTATGTTATAAAAAATTTTAGATAGTATTATTCTCTAATTACTATTAGATAATAGTCGTAGTTTTTCTCCAATTTTAGAATTTTCATGTTATATTCTTCTGTTTTTCTCGGATTTTGGAATTTTTACGTTATATTCTTGTGTTGATTGTTTTTATCTTATTTTTCTATTAATAGGATAATTGTCTTGATTATTTCTATCTTATTTCTCTATTAGTAGGATAATTGTTAAAGATAAAGACGATGATATTCTTCATGATATTTTTTCCATCAGAGTGATATCAGAGTTTATGGTTCAGTAGGATATTCTTAATATGTTTTGTGGTTGCAGCTTAATTTGGTCTTCCATACCAGAAAAAATTAATTCCTTATTGTTAGATAATCATCTTTGGTTGCTGAAGTTGCAATGTCACTTGCAAGTGTTTTCATATGTGACATAGAGAGATGTGCTGATAAAGTTTGGATTACAAAGTGAAAGTATACCTCGAGAGCATATATTTCATTGATTGAGAGGCAAAATATATACAAGTGAATACACTGATCGTTACATAACATTAGGAGAGAAATAAGCTAAATCTCTAGAAATTAGGCAAGTATCTCTCCTATATTAAGTAGGTATCCCAATTTAAGCTAATTACAATATTTGACAATAATTACAATCATATCGGATTCTTGATTGTGTAACACTCCCCCTCAAGCTCAAGAACTAGGAAGGTACATGAGCTTGGAAATTAACGAGTATGTGAAGCCGAAAGAAGAGTCTTTGTGAAGATATCTGCTAATTGCTTGATTTGAGGAGACAAATGTGGTTCGAAGTTTTCCTTCTTGAATTTTATCTCGAACAAAATGACAATCAATTTCAACATGTTTTGTTCTTTCATGAAAGAGCTTGGATTGTTTGCTATATGGAGGGAAGCTTGATTATCACAAGATAAAGTGGCGAGGATGTGGTGGAATACCCAAT